ATCTCAATGTCTTTCAAATTAGGTTTTCACTGTGATAAGTAAAATGCGCCAGCCTTATTCGATTACAGTTTTTTCGAACAGTTTCATAATATTTCTTTTGTTACAAAATAGATAGGCATGGTTATATAATTGTCTTAGTAATATATAATTATATGTATTTTTATACGGTAGTTTAAAATAGCTTAGAGAAAGTAATTGAAATGTATAATATATATAAAAGGATCAAGTTGAATAAAGTCACAGCGATACATTCTTTTCAAACCTAAACCTAGACTATGATATAGCTATATAGATAAACCTAAATGAATTTCGCGTACAGAATGTGACAAATATGAGTCAAATTAATTCAATCCAATATAATAAACATTACAGCGATAATATTGAGCTTTTGACTGGATAAGTACAAGTGAATAACTGAATAAGTATAAGTGAATAAACCTATCTTTATTAATAAATAATAACCAAACTAATTGTAGTATTTCTTACTATCGACATTAAAGTTGCTTTCATTTTTTTTCCAAACGCCTTATCCATATTATAGAAAAGAATAAAAACGATGAAACGTATACAGTATGATATTTCATGAATCTAACAGAGGCCCGATAAACGTAGCAACCATAGAGAGGAGTTTAAACGGATGAGTTTCTTTACATCGGGTTTCAAAACTGATGCAACAAACTAGGTCAATGGGTCTACCGAGGCTGCCGTGAAAGTAGGGTAATCATTTGCAAGAGCGTCAACAAATGAGGGTAACATCAAAACCGGCATCGTGTCAACAATAAAGAACAGTAACCTACCATTGTTGTTCCTAGGAATCAAAGTAATAAAGCATACATCCTTCTAAGTCTCTTGTTAGTGGACAAGATTGCATATTGCTTTTTTCTCTGAATAACGTTCTTACATGACTTTTTTCCCAAAGACTGCATTCTTTGATGTCACTTAACTACATTTAGCTATTCTGATTATCGCTTACTGCTAGGAAAAAGCAATTGGTCAAGTGGTCAAACGGCCGTAGACATGGTACACGAGGCTCAATCATTAACCGAAACGAGAATTGGTCGAGTATTGAACGGTAGCGGAACGAGGAAAATCCCTTAATATAACTCTGGGGTTCAATTTGGACAAATTTTTAGATTTAGGGCAATCCAATTTGGGATTGGCGAAGAAAAGTTTCATTGACGAACTGCTTGTTCTGCTACTCTTGCTGGTTGAAGGCGAAAATTAAAGAGAATTGCTGTGTCAATATAATGTCATTTGTGTTCCAAAATCTTCACCAGTAAAACCGACGTCTCCGAATCACCAGAGATATAAGCTCAGCTCCGAAAGTCAATTTGTTAGACTAGTTGGCCTGGCTCGGACAAAAATCGATGACCAATGAGCAAAGCAAACTGCAGCCAGAACATAATGGAATAATATAGCGAAACCACCACAGAAATGTAATTGTTTCCTTTAAAAGAAATTAATACCAAGTTAAAGAAAATTACGTACTGTGAGGATTTGCACGTCATCGCAAACCCATCACTCCCCAGAACTGTTATAGCCAGTAATACCAAAGAGAAGTGTTAGTGCGACTAATTTGTTTCCCCTAAGGTAACCATCTTTCAACATCTGTGTGACACTTTTCTTCTCTTCAACCTGTTCCTGCAGGGCATTGTTAGATTAACCAATCATTATTAACAATATTTAATGATCACTTTATTCTAAATGATACGGTCGAACTTCGTTATCATGAACAAATTGGATATCTCGACACCAATTTTTACTGTAGACCAGGGCACGCTTGTTCTCGCTTTATTTACCCTCTTTTGTAAATCTATTTTAAAAATGACGTCTAATGTTAGTACGCAAAATATTGTACATTCATACTCACTGTGACGGGCAAAACATATTTACATTATGTTGATAAATATGTAAATAGTGTCTCCAAGTTGACGTTTTCATGATGGGTGTTTTTTAATACACTTATATATAAATATATTGACTACATCCGCTTATCACGATAACATTATATAGCATGAACGCATGTTGCTCGATACATCAAGACTTGAATCTGTTCGTAATTAAAAAAAACCACAGATCCTAATTGATATATTAATTGTAAATGCTTCTAATCCACTATTGTGTCTTTTGTATAGTAATTAATAATCATTTTATATTTAATAGGACGAGCCTAATGTGTTACATAATAAAATAATATTTACAAGAGACCTGCATAGAGTATTCTTGTTATTTGTTACAAAGAAGCTGCTGTATCCAATATATTGACAAATTCTGGAAAGCCAAACTTCATCTAAATGTTTGCTTATTACGATGTTCACACGTTTTGCTTTGCGGGGGAAAGCGTCAAAATAACACTGATTTATTATATTTGCTGCCATAGTCCTATGAATGCAATTTCCACTAGTAATGATGAATATGGAATAGAAACTTACATGTACAAATATATTTTTATAAAGGCGTGTAAACAAAAATCAAGCGTATCATAAATTATTGTGAACTCGGATTAGCTATACTGGTATTGTAATCTTTAATAAGATTGTCTAAAGTATCGACTGCAGCGTTCTATATTTGGTTACCTAGTTATAGTGAATTTTAAATTGGTAAAAACAGTTAAAAAAAATCTTAGTTATTAGCAATCTTTCATTTTATTTCACACTTTTTTCTGGTTTTTGAGATTGATAGTTAAAACGGGGTTATTGCTTTCTTCTTAATTCCATCATTTATCCCCGATTGGAATTGTCTACCTTACAGGACCTCTTGTATAAGAATTATTTGAATGTAATTATATATCTATATATTCAGTCTTTGCATAGTGCAGAGTTATCTTCTCCTGGGAGCAGGTATTGATTGTTACGTCACTTGTTTGTGAGAATAACGTCATCAATTTTTGAGAAAATGACGTAATTTTCTCACACAAACCAATGACGTAACAATTAATACCTGCTCCCAAGAGAGGATAACTCTGCAATACGCAAAGACGGAATACATAGGATACGTTTTATTTTAAAATATTTATGATCCCTTGTATGCTCATTGATGATGTATATCAATTATATTATACCTCATATGGCTACATCGCGGTGACTGCGAGACACTTCTAAGACTAGCTTCCAAATCATTAGAGCAAGCTAATACTTAATTCGTTGAAGCGCGTAAGTGCACCCCAGGGGACAATTATGTGGCCTATTCGTGCCAGTCGTGTTGCAACACATAGGGAAAGCAAATAACGGGTTTTGCATAGCTCATTCATCAATTGAATGGCTCTAGTTCAAGACGTAAAGACAAAAACGTTATTAATCACTGAAAAGACTAGATATTGCGCTTGCAATTCAATCCTAGGATAAATGGTTGTACCAACACATGCTACTGTCACTTTTACCAGAAAGAAAATAAAAACATTCTGAAGGAATCTAACAGATACAATTTAGTTTGTTTTGTTATTGGACTTCGGGCAAGTAGTGCTAACTCTAAAAAGAAAGGCTATCAAATTTTCTAAATTAAGACAAGCCCTTTTATTTGATCGGCAAGACTGATTTTATTCCCTTGAAACTGCAAAGAGGCCGAGGCTTCCCGTTCCACGCTATGTGTACACGCTGAGAAGATTGAATTATGTCCATGTTGGGCGCGACTGGCATTATGAGATTAAAGAGCCTGCTTGAATGGGATGCGGAGGCGACTAATTTGTTGAAATAATAATCTTAATAAGGTATTCGAAGGGTAAAGCTTGTTACTTGTTTTTCTATTTCCTGAATGCGCAGTTCTGTAACGGTAAAGGAGCAGATTAAACAACGCATACATATTAACCAAACATGATCCACTATCGATCTTAAAAAAAGTTCTTTTTACATTGCAAAAGATGAAATTAGGTCGAATTTGTGTTGGTTTCTTTTTATCCGTTGTATTACATTTATATCGCAACAGTAAAAAATCATTATCGATTTTAATTTCAATTCATTTTAAGCAGAAGAGCTGAACTTATTTGTGTTAAAAAGTATCATGTGTTTTATTTAAAGATTGAAACATTGACTATATCGATTAATATAAAAATAAGCAAGAAAATGAAATAATAATAAACTAATTGCTGTTTATTTTGGGTAAAAATAAAAATACTATTGTGTGTGTTTGGTTTAGATTGGTTATATTTGTGTAACGTCCTGATTACACCTGAGGTCATGTAAGGACGTACCTCCATGTGTGTATGCGTGCATGTGCGGTTGTGTGCCGGAGACAGAGTGTGATGGTGTATTTGCCTCCTTGTGATAGCGCAGATCTGATGCCGACTTTATAGTGCTATCTCATTGAAATATCATGCCCAAGCACAGTATTCCGCCCGGTTACATTATACTGACAATGGGTGAACCAGTTGTTGTCATTACCCTTATCGCTGAACGTTAAGCAGGGAATAACAACTACCTTTTTTAATGACTTTGATATGTCCCGCTCTGGGGAGAGGACCCATTGCCTTTCCCACCTGGGCGAACGCCCAGCATAAAAGGCAGAAGTGAGGTATCGCCAAGAAAGCCGCTAGGATACAAAAGCTAGTCAAAAGTAGAAAGAAAGATAAAGATCCCAAATGTTGCAATGGGTGCAGCAGATTTATTTTGGTCGCTTTCTTGTCCCCAAGTAGCACAAAAGCAAATCACAAATTATGCAGGGGTTCCCATAAAAGGCGCCTCGTACGATACAGGCAGTGGGTAACAGCAGGTGTATTATTTTCTCAATCTATTGTGTGTCGTCAATGAAACGATATTGATTAAACACTCCAACCGTCTAAGACCATGAGTGATGAATTCAAATATACAGGTTGGTAATTTGAGGGACTTCAAAGCATCAAACCATCAGGAATCCAAATAACATAGAAACCAAACTTGACCAAGTGTTTATTGAAAATGCGAACTAATTTTTTGTTTATATAATTTGAGGAATTTATTCTGTACCCATTGATCAGGATTTCCAACTATCTAAGTTGTAAAACCTATATATCTACTTTTGAATTACAGGTGCAGAGGTCATACAGCGTCAGCGATATTGAGCTGACAGAAGATCAGAGACAAGGTACAGTATATATATCATCTGAAGAATCACCTTGATGTTAAGATTGTTTCTTTTAACATTATCATCCTAGACAATAGTAGGATAGCACAACGTAACACGATGTGTGGTGTGCGCGCGATGTGTGCACGATGTGTGAACGGTAAAAATCTGGAGGATTAATGCTTACGCACATTTGTGCGGACAATGGACAAACATTGTGCGATGACCATCGTGGTTGGTGTAAATTGAGAAATGACTTAGCAATATCTACGGTTTCGTGTTTAAACAAATAAACTTGATTTTTAAGTATGATTATGGTTTAGCTACATATGTCAAATGATCTTTCTATCATTATTTTTCTTAAATTAAGAAATGTTTTTTTTTTTTTTTTTTTTTTTTTTTTTTTTTAAAAAAAAAATTTTTTTTTTTTTTTTTTTTTTTTTTTTTTTTTTAATCGATCCAAATCGACACATGAAAAATTATACCACAAATGAACATGGTCTAATAAACAGATAATTATAACCACTTATACATGTACCTGAATTGTAGTTTTCCCCACCCAGGGCACTTACGTAACACATCAAGGTGTGAAAATCCAAGTAAAAAGAGGAGATATAGACCAACACGAATGCAAATAACAAATACTTAACATAGTGATTTTTTTCATAACAGCGATACGGTATCACATAACAGCTCTGTTTGTCAGGCACAGGCGAGGTATAACTCTGGCCAATCCCATTCTTGACAGTCTAACGGTCACTGTCATACTGCGTAACACGCATTATCAACTTAAACATGATCTTAATTAATATAATAAGAAATTTACATAAACAGTATTTCTTATTTCATACGGCCTTCCGGATTTGTTTTCATTCCGTAGTATTGATCAACCAATTGTACGTAATCACACAATTGCTCGGAGAGAAGTGCACAACGAGGGGAACGACGGTTAAATCGCACAGCTGTGCGCACCATTAGTGGTCGATGTGCGGATGGTGTGCGCACGATGTACGGACGATGTGTGCACGATGTATGGATGATGTGCGCACGATGTATGGATGGTGTGCGCACGATGTATGGATGATGTACGCACGATGTATGGATGATGTGTGCACGCTATTTTTGGTGTGTATGGCGGTCACACATACATGTATACTTTTATTCACTGCTCTTTCTAAATTCAAGAAAGATATTAAGACCCTCCTTTCTAGATCTGCATTTTGGGCTCTTCTGCGCAGACGTCATGTACACACCACCTTTTATATCTAATTAGTTATGCATATATAGCGATACATGTGTTTAGGTCAGATACAGTTATATAAAATGCTGTTTTAAATGCGTTTTTATCTATTATATATATAACTGTCACTGTAGGAATACTATTAATCATGAACTATAAGCGCCTTTCAGTAATTTTGCAAATTAATAAGGGCACTATACAAATGTTGTGTATTATCATTATCAAAATTATAAATTTTGGCATGGGTCAAATGACTTTTTTAAGAATAACGTGTGTACTTTTTCCAAAATTTGCAAAAAGAGGATATATAGGCACCTTTCCCCTTCGGTATATTTCTACATATATTTCTTTCATTGTTTTGAACTTAGTTTTACTGACGACTCCTTAATGGTCAAACGTGACTTTGTTTTGCTTTCCTCGTCAATAAACTCAATATTTACATAGGTGCGTCCTTGCAACATATTTCTAGTGATTCTTTTATACCATAGTTAATTTGATACTCAAGAGGAAGAACTGTTCGAAGTTTTAAGAACTTTCTATGGAGGTTTCCTTTACTGATAACTTCTATGCCTTAACGGACAAAAGTTAAACATTGATTATAAGAGATAAAGTGCTGTAATAGGGTAAAATAATGAAAACAAAACTTCATAAATTGAAATTGCGGTTACCTGTAGCAGATCAGATTTTTTCGTTGATATCCTCATAGCAGAGAATGCATAATAATATGCTCAATTCTGTCATGAGCTCCATTTTGTCATTAACAAAGATACAACAACAACACTTTTGTTTGCACCTGATTGAGACAGTGATGAGATACAAAAACTGCTAGAAATTGCAGTTACCATAAATCAAATCATATTGTATATCGGGAAACATGGAACGTTGATTTGTCAGCGAGTAATGTTTAGACGAGTAATAGTGATAACATTGGTTAGAACTACAGATACATTCACAAGTAGCAATGTTTTCATTTCACATTCGAAAATGAAAAGACAAGCTCATTTGATTGATATTTATAGTAATTTGATGATAACAACAACCCATAATGGACATAAAAAACACATCTGTTTTACCACAGCTTCGACAATTGTAAATTTTCAATTTGCAATTGAAAAGAGTAAATAAACAATCCGATTATATTGATGTTTAACAATGCTATGCTATTAACATGGTGGGTAATTCATCCGTGTTACCACATATTCGGTCATTGTTTTACAATCAAAAGAATGACTAGACAAGGTCACATAGTTAAATATAGTACTTGGCATCATTGTTGTATTATATGAATTATATTAATAACAAACAAATGGTACAACGAGGGATAACCATAGCGATCAGCAATCCTCATAGCAATTCTCTTCCTCAAAATCAAATCTACTTGTCCGCCTTAATCGACAAATTCTGCAAATACTTCTCACAAATCATGAAACACGTTTCCATGATTAAAAGATAACCATACACACAGCTATATGATAATATCATTTATCTGTGTATTGATATTCTGTATATACTTGTATTGTGAGTGAAAAATTTCTGTCATTTAATCAAGACAAATTGAATCTTCTCTCCCGAAGTACAAATTGTATTCCTTCAGTAGGGTATTGTCAGTAAATCGAAACACGTATTAACATAAATAAAAGAATTAACTACATACAGCGGTAGATGTGGAAGGAAGTTATCAGTATAAAAAAAAACATGCCGTTTAGTTTTAACACTCCGAATCCGTGTAATAAACATAATTGCAGTGAAGAAGAAGACTAATGTTTAATATTTGAAGGAAAAGATAAACAAGCCTCTTGAAAGATGCTATGTTCCCTAACAATTTCAACCCCTAAATATGTCTTTTTAAAGACACGAATTAAATATTGGAATACACGCATGCACTTTTTGATACATTAAACGTGTGCTGTAGTTATTTAAATGGTTTATAGCGCGACGTTTGGCAAGTTTGTCATAAGGGATTAAAATCAATGTCTTTGGTTCACCGGAAGGAATTACAGCATGTCAATAACCTTTGCGATCCGACAGAGTGCTACAAAGTGACATTTTTTTAAGGTTCATTTAAATACTATGGTCGTAAGGGGCTACATTTCGCTATATAACGCGAGGTATTACAGCTTCCAATCAAGGTAAATGTGGCTAGGTGAAAACCACGAAATCATAGTAAAAAGCTCCGATATTACAATACGAAAAATGACGGTACCATAACTTCTCTTACAATGGAGTATGATGCGTGAAATAAGAAACAAAACCGTCATATGCGCAATTGATATTCGCAATTCGGGTTGAAAAACATTATCTGATAGGAATTATTACAAATATCAATGGGAAAGGAAAGACATGTAGTAAAGGCAGCGTTCAAATAACTCGTAACGTGGACCTGATGTTATATATGGTTAGGACATAGCAAATTATATATCATGACCTTATATTATTGCGACGTCACAATTTGAATTAACAACAAAATTAGGCATCAAAATCTGTCATCAGTACCTGGATGAACGCCAACATGCTAAATAAAAATCTGAAGAATAGGGAACTAATAGTCATGTATAGCCCATATATGGAGATGCATGACAGACTTGTATTTACTTGTTACCTCTATGTTGGACTTGTCTATGGTATATCTGACAAATTAACAAGTCGTCTGCAAAGTGTCTAGAACACAGTAGCACGTCTGGTTACTCGTACCAAAAGACAGAGCACATCACACCAATGCTGGATTTATTGCGTTGGTTGCCTGTAAGATACAGGTGGCAGTTTAAAATTACCGTATACACATACAAGGCATTGGATGACTTCACGATCGCTTTTGTTGAAAGCAGAATCCCTGCTGTGTATCCTCAAATCTCGTACTGTGACATATGGAAACAAATGCTTTGGAATAGTTTCCGTCACGCTGCGGAATAGCTTACCATATGCTACCGTGTAGTCAAAGACTGGCCATATTCAAGAAGACTATACAATCCAACCTGTTCAAGTCTCCCCAAAACCAAATATAAAATCCTAAATTATTTAATTACCCAACATGACAAGAAACAGTTGACAAATACTATATATATTGGCAATTTCTATGGCAGTATTTTTTCGTTGTATTCGCCATTCGATGAATGTTCAGGTCTTCAAATATGGCAAATAATGGAAAGGTAGGGGACATCCATATAATCTCGAAAACGCGAAGTCAATCACTTTGCACATATCCGTTTCTATTGCAAAAATGCGCAAATGGCACTTCATGAAAAAATGCAATGCATGAGATGTACTTAGATAAATACGGATATTCCGATATGACTACTAGCAACGCCCTAAACTCTCGAATCGAAGTTAATCATTTACGCATCGTTGTGCAGTTTGTTCTTCGGACACATTAGCCCACATTCTTGACACAAAGTTGTAGACCACGTGATATGGTAGATATTAAAAGCGGAATTATTAATGTAAACGTGCAAGACAGATAACTCATATTTGATTACGAAAATAAACTCGTTTTTAGGCATCGATAAAAACTATTAGAAATGCAATGACAAGACTAGAGACAAAGAATAATAAATCAAAGCGTTTTGATATGATAATGTATTAGATAGTTGTAGTCAGAGCGTTCATAAATGACTGCCTCTGAAACGTAACACGAAACAAAGATGAGGATGGATGTCTAGTTTCTGTTTGAATAAGACTTTCTGTGATTGGTACAGGAAATTGATTGATAAGATGACCTCAATGATGCTGGAAGAATTTTATTCTGTTAAGGGGAAATTTGATTGATTAAATGCTTTGGAGGTCA